TATTTATGTTTTGCATTTCACCTGGGGAATGTAAATTAATTTCTAAGCAGTGAGACATTATCATTCACAACTAGGATTTTCATTGCTGACACAGTTTTCTTTGAAAAATGATAGATGCTATTCAATGGATAAAGATAAATTGCTGGATACTTATTGCATTTTTAGCTATCAGCTTTGCTTTAAAAATATAGTCAATATGAATGTTTCAATCTAGTATACTGGGAAAACAAATTTGAATTAAAAAGTTTTGTACAGGTCTTCAGTCAGATGTACTAAAAGAATGAAGCTCAGTTTGTTCTATCTGATCTAAGATTAAATCTATCTGATGCAAACAACAAAGAATGCTCCTATTACACTTTAATGAACTTGCTTAATAGCCAGAATCTCCAACAGATTTATCGCCTGAGAGCTTCAAGGATCCAGGCATTGTCCCCTTCAAAAATAGTGGTGTGAAACAAAGGACAAAGGGTGAACCAATGCAACAGAGATACTCACTAGAAACTATGTTGAAAATGTACTGTACAATTTGGGGTAGCAGTGGGAGATAATGAGGGAGGGAGTAACACTTTTTGATTAAAAAAATGTGCTCATTACCTTACTTAGGTAACTGGGTAACTCCTCTGTATATCACTTTTACAATAAAAATTAAATTAAACACAAAAAAGAATAGACTTTGGGATGTAGAAAATTCTAGAAAGTGGCTCTGGGAGAGCTTTGAAAGTCACAGCAGGCAGGATGTGTGCAAACCCCCCTCTTCCTCCAAGACCACAAACCAGGAAGTACCTTCAAGGGCTTGAAATATACCATGGGATACACTATGATCTATAGTCTGTCAGATCTGCTCAGCTATGATTTTCAGTGGCAGAGCACAAACAGAGCTTGCACTAGATGATGAAATAAAGTTGTGGGTCCTATGATCTCCTTTAGGAGGCTCTTGGAATATTTAATAAATTATATTCTAACTAAAATATCTATATTTTGGCCAACCTTGAAATGGTAACTTCTACTTTGAGCTCCAGAATCCCATAACCCCAAACTCTCCTGGTTATTTGGGTAATTTCACATGTATTTGCTTCATGTCAAAATTGGTATGATTTTTCAAAGGTATTGGTCAATATTTATTAAAATACTTAAAGTTATTAGTGAATTCTCTTAGAGTTTCAATATTCAGAATATTCAAGAAAAAAAAGCTGCACAAAAGATTTCTGCCTATAGCTATTCTTAGTAACATTTTTAATATCCAGCTTTAGGCCACAAATTTAGGTATATACAAAACTTCTACATGTAGAATATATGCAGGCACTAACAACCATTTGACAGACTACATAATTTCATTAATAAATATTCATTATGTGCTGTTGAGTGAGTAGGTCAAGTTAGGAATCCAAACTTGTCATTTGTCCTCAATTGCATTTTATAAAATTATTGATGTACTGGTACCTTTATATTGCACTTAGTACAAAAAATAGCAGGTTTATTTCATAAACCTGTTGCTGTTTATACATGATATAATATTCTGTTAAATTTCTATAATAATAAACTGCTATTTCTTACAATGGGCAATAATTATTTTGCCGTTAAGAAAACAATCTAAATATCTTGTCTGTCCTAGTAGAGACTTCTAAGTGTCTATAGATACCAAATAAAATTAATTAAATGTTTCCTGCATGCATAGATTTTTTTCATAATTCACGTTTTTATATGATCCTGCTGTATCCTGTTAAGGTGTGAATCTGCCCTGTGGGGAAGTGATCTTTTACAGTATCATGGTGTAAACATTCTATGTATGCCAATACTTCTCCTAGACACACAACCCCAGGTCTGTGGGTTCCATAATGGCTGAGAATTTCTCTTGAGGGTTTACAAGGCATTAAGAATAGAGCAGAATCAGAGCAGAAGCACTGATTTCCATGTAGAAACCCTTCAGTTTTGCTTCTCTTCTAGGCTTTCTGCTTTTATTTAGGGACTATTATCTCCACAAACCTGATAATCATCTTTGTTCTCTGTCTTATCTCAATTTCCAACTCACCAACCACTCCTGGCAACTCCACTTGAAATTTATATCCATTTCTCATAGTATCCACTACGATTATTTTATTCCCAATAACCATGATTTCTACTACACCTTTTCCTTCTATTCTTCTTCCTTAGGGTCTACTTTCCACAATGAAGCTAAATTTATTGTAGGAAAATACCCCCCATCTTTCATCTTTAACTACTTTTCTTTTGCGCTTAGTATTACACATAATGCTTCACTGGTGCCTGCTGCATTTCCTCAAACATGCCTTAGCTGGGTTCCCTTCTTCAGTTATTCAGTCATAGCCATTTTGCTTTCTTTTGCCTGAGTGTCTCCTGCCACCAGCCTTTTCTACCTGTAATTTCCTTTGTCCCAAACACACTTCTCACAGATTTTTCTAAAGCCAGTTTCAATTCTTTATTCAATATCAATCCAAGCATCCCATTTTGAGTGGTGTCCACTATCAAACATTTCAAAGTACTTTGGTCACTCATACTGTTTTGATTACTTTGTAACTTATGCTAGTTAATTAACTATATATTCACTTATTTTTCTTAGCATGAAAATCACAAAATCCTATGAAACCCGAGTGTATCAGTTTCTTTCATACAATACAGAACTATCCATATATTAATTTTATAAATACATATTGTATGTTGTTAATCAAGTAATTACTAAGATACCTAAAATGTTGTATTTTCAAAGTAAAATCTTTACACACTTGTTTAGTGATTCATTGCAGAAATTATAGGTTAGAAGATAAAGTCAGGTCAACAGCAATTAGAGAAGGCAGCGGTTTGGGGCTAAGATGTGGAGGCAAATTTTGCTCATATGTTTTTCTACATATATACTTGTATATGTACTATAATGACAAAGGAATCGTTTCTTTATCTCTATTATGAAAAGCAACATATTTTTATAGTACACATTAAGCAATACACCTCACAACATTACAACAATGAAAATAAATTTTGTCCAAACACTAAGTGACCATTTAAATCTGTATTACATTATGTCCCTACATTAACAATCTCCCTGCTTTCCCTCTATTCAGAAAGCAATAAATTCTCATTAACAAAAGACAGCTTCTTGAACATTTTCAGAGCTGACACTATGAAAACACTGTTAACTGCCAGTGATATTGCCTGGCACACCAGCCACACTTGCGAGAGCACATGCACACACTTTGCCAGCCCTGAGAAGTCTGGAAAGATCTAAACTTTCCTTCATCTCCAGGAGAGTCATTTTATGAAAGAGTATATTCTAAAGCATTAAAGGTTAATATTTTTGTGACACCTATTCAAGGTATGACTTTCTGTGAACGTCTGCACCAATCTAATTTTCAATCACTGTATCCCAGTAGGCTTTAAAAAGCTAGACCTCAAAGGAGGAATTGTATTTGATATTCTCTTGTAACCCTGTGATAAAACTTAAGCATGAATAATTGGAGATCTGCACACTCTTATAAAGATGAAAGAATGGAACTCAATCTAACACAGGAGCTAAAAAGACAAGTAGGATTACATTTCTCTGCCATCTTAAAAAAAGGCTGACTTTAAAATCTATCAGAGGAGAGTGCTAGCAGTTGAGGCTGATTGGGCAACAAATCAGGGATCCCTTCAGCAAAGACTTTTATAAACCTCTCAGTTTTGGATACGTATGTATTCCTAGTGGATGTGTTCTTATATATTGCACTTTACTGTAGCTAGCTGGTGCGGCCTCACTACATATAACAAAGATTTCATTGTTTTTGTCATATATATATACATGATATGTATAAATGTATTCATATATGTGACCAAATTGGGTTTAGACAAGACTTCTGATACAACTATATTGCAGTCAAATTCCTGTATGTTTCCCATAAAAGAGTGTGATATAGATGGATTCATGTGTCATTGCAGTTATTTATACCTTCCTACAATAAAAATGTTTTGGAAAAACTGAGATATATATTGAGGTTCATCATTTTTTTCCTGCAACATCTTGAGTACTCCAGAGAATTTTAACAAACTTTGGAAGCAACTAAGATTGTACTGGGTCTCAGCAAAATGTCATTGGGTATTGTTGAGGCTTAGTTTTATTGTCAGCTGTGCACTATGAGTTAAAACTACCCATACATCATATCATAACTATGTTTTCTCAACACATGCAATTGAAGAGGTAAAGGAGCCATCATTATCTTCTAGAAAAAAAGCATACAGACACAATGTCTTTCTTACATATGCTTTTCTTGTGATATATTTCCTATTTTCTCATGAAAATAGATTCCTAAGAATTGTCTCTACTCAAAGACAAAATTCAAAGAAAAACCACTGCAAACAGGTTAATGACTATGGGCTATTTTACAGGCAACAAAAAATTCAAGACTGTTTAAATTTATTTCTGACATAAAATAATATGTATCTATTTTTTTTTACAAAATCTTATTTAAAATGGTAATATATACACACATAAATTGTTTTACAATGACTAACATAGAAAAAAATATCCTTACTCTGAAACACCTGTGAATATAGAATGGAGATGGTACAGTATTTGCAGCATGTAATATATTTGATTCTCATTAATAGAGTATTTCAATGAAATGATTTTTGATGGCAAGTTTTTTTGTGTGCATAGTCAAAGCTTTCTAGCAGGGGTGACTTACCTTGAATATAATTCTGGCAGCTTTTGTACTCTGATATATTTTATTTGATGGTCACAATAATCCTTACATATTAATTATTGAGGATAAAATATATTATGAAGTTGCCATTATTGAAGTGATGAAGCCATATCTTGTAATACCCAATTATAGACTGCAATAAAATGGTATTGCTCATTGACTTTATAAAACAACCACTCAACAATGATACAAATTATTCTAAAACTCAAGATGATGTAGGGTTATTAGACACTGTTATTTAAATAATCAAATATAATAGAAAGTAACCACTTATAATTTGCCCTCCAGTATATTAATAAATAGATCAGAACATACCTGAATTACATGCCTCAGCTTGTCAATTATCTGATTTATCACAGGATCTGTTCCTTTAACTTTGACTTCAGGATTTCCAGACTGGGCTTTCATTCCACCTCCAACCACACGCTGAGTATAGCTAACAAAGTGACAAGTGAAAGATACATGACTTAGTTAACTTGTCAATGTACACAGTATTCACCACTACTTGAACTAATTTCAGTTCACAATATACTCTTGGAAAAGTATAACATTGTTTTCTCTCTCTTTGGAACATGAAGGTAATATAAGTGTAAAGTTTTCCCAGGAAAAATACTTGGAAAAAATACAAACATTCTGAAAGTAATATTTTCCTCTTCAATGACTTGATAAAATATCATTGTTTATTAAAGCTATACTATACCATATATTTGAAAGCGTTAATAAGAATTTGATTTGGTTACCATTTCTTTCTCAATTCCATGTCTGCAGTCACATTATTGGGGTCAGTTTGATCTATTGTATGCTGCATACTGCATTTAGATATGTATGATTAATATTATAACACACACATATATACACACACACACATATTTATGCCCAACTCAAATATCATTATACTTATACTCTAAATCTGCAAAAACTATTCTAAGTAGAACCAAACAAAATTTTCTCAATTCATTTGTATGTAAAAGGGCAGTTTTATAGGTAGTGAAAGCCATTTGAAATTTCACTATTTTCTCCAAAGGATAGTCATGCAATGTCAACTTAACATTTGCTCATCTTCAAAAAGTTGCATTAAATTTCTACCTTCTTTTTTTTTTTTTTTGGGTCCGGTCATGGGGCCTGAACTCTGGGTCTGGGCGCTGTCCCTCAGCTTTTCAGCTCAAAGCTAGCGCTCTACCACTTGAGCCACAGCGCCACTTCCAGCTTTTCTCTTTTTGCTTATATGGTGCTGAGGAATCGAACCCAGGGCCTCATGCATGCAAGGCAAGCGCTCTACCACTGAGCCACCTTCCCAG